TGCGAACAGTATCAGTTGTCTCATTGTCATCGAAATAGAGGCAACGCATATGATAGAAATGGTCCCTGAGACTTAACTCTAGGATGATCCTGTGACCGACAAGGGTAACACGTACCTTGTTGGGCCGAAAACAATCTCGACAGTGTGTTACTAGGGCTCCAAAACCGGCTTGGCCGACGTACACACCCAAGAGTGGACGTGATAGTGGACGGTCTTGCCAAGGCTGCACCATGAACGTTAGGACGCCGATGAATAGTATGCTTATGTGAGAGACGACCAGATGGTTATAGACGCATTATCTCGTACGTTCCCCTTTTTACCACTTTTTTACAGACTAAAATTTCTTGAAATCCCATTGGGATTTCAACTTCGTTCGCATTAGGTTGGCAACTAGGTGAACTAGTGTTTCTCTAAATACCTCAGACATTTACCTCGAAGGGTACCTCAGTTTTTCGAAGTGCTTCATAGAGAAACTTTTTCGCTCAGAAGCACCGAATGTCAACGAGTAAGATTCAAGAAACGAAAACAACAGAGCCCTTTAAGAACGTTTTCTGCAAAACCGATGGATATAAAATTGTCACAATGATTTGATTAGCTCCAGAAGGCTCAAAAATGTCTGAGATTGAGAAAGAATGTCAGTGTTAAGAGGATCAGCTGTTGTAAAAGCCATCAATCTTCTACATCCTCTAAATCAACCAAAAAACTATGGGCATCTGTTTATATCTAGTCGTTCTATCTGGATCAATTCGTTACGCCATTCTGTAACCATAACTTTCCTCTAATCAGCCGCAGGACGAACCTAATTCCCTTTCAATCACATGGCTGTCAAATCTTCAGGAAAAAAGCAAGTGGGGTGGGAAAGCTCCCACATTGGCATCTGTTGGGGTCGATACATCGATGTCAATGCATCTTCCATTGCCAACCTCGTCCTCTTTAGCCACAGGAAAGCCAAATCTTCAGCAAAAGAAAGAACCCGGATAGTAACATCGATCTTTCGGGTAACCCGCAAAGCGACTTCAGCGAGTTCAAAGTCGGAGAAAATATTCTGATTTCAATACATTCAACATCAGATTGGGCCCATTCTCACCCTGTTACACCTCTACTGACTTACTCCCTACAGCTGAATCTGGGCGACATTTTGGATGTGAAGGTTTTTGATAGCGACGTTCCTTCAACTCTTGAATTTCGTGACTTCCAGTAAATGACGTTACAGATGGGGCCTTTAAGTACATCACTTCCAATGCTGATTTCTAAAAGTTGGAAGAAATTGCCCTATTAGCTTAAGTAGGATTGAGTATATTAGATTTCGAGATACGGAGCATTAAAAAGGGTTCTATGGTCTTCTTGAGCGGGTGAGCAAATCGTAGATAAGTGGCCATGGACAGTCTATGATGGCGTGCACAGCCTGCAGCCTACCCGTATAAGCTGCCTTCCAGCGAAAATTATTTTTTCCACACAAAGTGAATGAAACTAGGATAGCTCTGGACAATAGCAATACAAAACACAACAGATTACAATAACGATCGCAAGTGGCAGAAAATGATGAACAGATGTAGATGAACACGACCAATAAGTCTGTTCAGCGTGGGTTTTGAAAGCAACCTTACATGAAGGGTAGTTGGGCCGGCTGCAAACAATAGCTTTGTAGGATGGCAATTAAAATTCCCATTTTTCGAGCAAAAGAAAGGGCCTCCAAAGGAGACGTCGCAATCGAGAAAGATGTCATATTTCGTGGTCTTGAGAGAGATAAAGGAGCGTTAGTTACCGATGGCTGACACCATGACACTGAAAACCGTTGCTACTGCTGTTATCGCCTGCGATTCCGGGAGGGGAGCAATGAACGCCCCCTGCACTGGCGCTATCTACTCGACACTCTGCTATGCTTTTCTCTGATTTTGCCTTATCATCATTAGAAGGTCCATGATACAAACGGGTCCATGCTACAATGGTAAAGCTTGAACCTTCAATAGACCATCGGAACGTAGAAAAATATTGAATTCTAGAGGATAAAGTGATTTATGGTTGGTATTCTGTAGCGAAACACAACTGTTCCTTGCACAATCCTTAAAAAAAAAGAAAAAGAAGTCTATTCAATAGAATGCACATGTTAATGAGCAGTTTCGACAGCCGTCCTTAAACAATAGTTACTCACTGTGGGGCTTTTTATTCAATGGTGAATGATGCTGCATTACCTGCTTTGAACAGAAAAACGGTAATCCGTTTTATAAATACTCGTCATATTTTTCTTTTTCGTCTTTTTTTTTGACTAATTAAGGTGAATATTGTATTTTCATACAGGCAAATCATAGGTCATAAGCAGCCCAATTTCGAAATTTGAGCAATCAAGGATGCATCCATATAGAATTACGTTAGAATTATAAGTTTTCACTACATTTAAATAACTCATCCGATGTATGCGGAAAAACTATAAAAGAAAAACTGTAAAGTATATCGACAAAAGACTGTAGATGAAATCTCACTCAAGAAACCCTTGTACAAATCGACTATGTGCGATTCCTAAAGGAAACGAAGTAAGTGGAACCAAAACGAACAGAGCGAACTAGAGCCGAAGTGGCAAAATCGCCGTTTTATCACTTGCCGACAGCTTAAGTACATTGATGTGGTGTAATCGGAAAGATTAGAAAAAACACCACAAAACCCGCACAGATTCCACCTCAATGCCAACCACATCCTATACGGTCATGAGGTTGGAATCAAACGGATATAATTCCCTCAATCACAAGCTAATTGATAGAGAGGTCTGTAGGCCTTTCAAGAGGTGAGGGGGGGGGGGGGGGGGGGGGGNGGGGGGGAATCGTGAACAAAAGGCTAAAACGCAGCACCGGCATGGGGAAGGCTCTAGAGGGTGAACTGATGATTCTGGAATGAGTCACCAAGAAATGAACTGTCTGGTACATGAAATATCAATTAATCAGTGGAACAGTCCCTGTAATGCCCTTATTGTTTACCTTAATGCTAATCGATGGGGACACACGCACTTGGACATCACAACTACTTTTATAGGAAAACACAATTACAATCAGTATCTCAATATTCACATTACAGAACTGTACAAAAGAATAAAAGGGCTGTGATGCATTTCGTCTACACACATACATATATCCTCAACCCCTTCTAACCCCTCCCCTTCCCCCACAATAGGTATAGGGCATTTCTGTGGCATGCCACCCGCAGACTACACCAGACAACTGCGGCATAACGCACTTTGCACACAGTTGGCTTAGAACTGGCGAGCATAATGTGGGCGAATCGAGTTCAGCGCCTCCCACCCATCCCAACAGATGTTCCCAATCTACGTGAACTTTACAAGTACGATCCGAGGCGAGTTAGGGTCGAGCATTCTTCCACAAAAAAGGAACATAAATAAGTACCATATAGCGACTACTCAGCAAGCCAAAACAGAATCTGCGGGAAAAACATGAACACGCGGCAGTTTCAGCTGTGAAAGATTCCGTCACACCTTCCTTTTACTGTATCAGCAAGTGTTCTGTCTTGATTTAGGTTTTTTCTCTATTTCTAGATGTTAGTATTCCCTATCAACGTACAAAAAAGCTACTCTGTCCTTTTGCTAGCTGATGAGACTGCATAGTAACCGTAGGCAACAACACAAGCATGCCCATATGGGGATTCCTATTTAAAGTGATGTCACCAAGAAGTTAAAACTCTCCTTATAATGAGAACAATCTAGATATAAACTTCAACAACTACAACTCTGTGCCTTCAGATCAAGCTGCAGAGAACTCAAATGAATGAGACGCAAAAGAACCTTCTCAGAGGAATCAGATAATGGAAGCAAAAAGAAGACAGCCATCAGACACGCATCCGTTTGTAAACAATGCAAAAAATGTTCAGAGAATATAAAGCTAAAAGCACTGGTGTTCGAAAATCTCACGTAGAAACTATTGAACATAAACCATTTGATTGAATATATTCTGATGTCTACACATCCATTACAGTTATGAAACAGCATGCAAAACTATAAACTAGTTTATTCGAGACCAAATAAAGCCTCAACCCATAATGAGAACATGAGCGTATGCGACTTCGAAAATTACAAAAATCTATCCAAATTGCTTGTATCTAATAAAGGAGCAAAACAGTGTGCATAAGGGAAAAACCGGAAAAAATCAAAGAGCATTTGCGTAATCACAGTTAAATAAACAATTAACGAATTAGGTTAACAAAATAAAGCGAAAGAATCTAGCGAAAAAAAGAAGAAGGCATGGAATCCAATCTTCACCATCAGCATGGCACAGATGACAAAAATAATGGGAAAGTTAAGAAGGGAAAAAGATAAGTTTTGCTAAACCGCAAACGAGCATTTTTCCTGGTATCGCATGAAGGCACAAGGTTAAAACTGGGATCGGTAACTGCCTGATAAGGGCACCAATCATTCTTCAAGGTCATCCACAGTAAAAAACAGAGCTGCACAATCTGTCAGACTTCGAAGATACGTAATGCTCTACGTGAAAAATACGAAGAAAAAATAATCGCGAGAATGAATGAACAACTGGGAGACGTCCCGTGATTACCATGCCGACGTTTACTTGAGTGGTTTAATACTTCCAATTTTCTTTGGAGGCCCAAAGCAATTTGCTCATTAACAATAACAACAATAACAACGATTTAGAACAGGGACTCAATTTTCGCAGTAATCCATATATGGGTCCCGACTCAAAAGAGCGGTCGTGGTGCTGTACAGCCCCCGGTTATCCGCGCCGGGTCCTTTCCAAGGTCCCTTTTCGATGCGCCGTAAATGAGATCGTTGTCCATATGGATCCTTTTTGCTGGAAAATTCCATCCCTGCGCTGAGTGAGAACCGTTTCTATGCACAACTACAGGCCCTCAAAGTTCGCCATCATTCCCTCATCGCATTAGCCTCCAGCATTAGAGACGCGCAGCAGTACCCCTTTGAACTCATTTTCAGCCAAATGCCAAAACTTTTACCCATTAGGAGCCTCCCTCTAGGTAGCGGAGCATTAAGACTCCTTCAGCGCGTCTCTGTGAAAACGTTTCATATGGCGATTATAGTTGAACACTTTGTTTGTTCGAAAAGAGCATAGGCTGCACATCAGAGATCCGGATGAATTCGATTCTCTCAAAACATGCTGAGTTTTCAAGCCATGTCTGAAATATTACATGATAAGAAAATTGAGTGCAACCTCGAGACCTCAAAGTTTGTCATGGCCGACGATCATCAGATTTATATGTGACGCATCAGGTCACGCCGCGTGACCGTTGCCATGATCAATAATTGCTCATCTTGCTCAACGGGTTGTGCACGAAGTCATGCCATCATTCCCGTATGAAATACGCCTTAGCAGCGCTCAAGTTCGACTGATCTGTTTCATTATTTCGTTTATTAAAGGCCATTATATTATTGCTTTTTGGGAGGTCGCGTACGGGTAGACCTACTTTTGCTCTGTAGAATCTGCATGAGGCTCTTAGCTCGGATTTCTACGGTATCAATCGATCGAGGATCATTCGATAGGGTATAGTGTTTTATGTAATCGAGCAATCAATGTAGTGACCGTATTCAGTAAATAAATGGACTGCGAAGCAGAATAGACAAATCAATTTTCAAATGCGCACTGGATTTTGATAAATCCGACAACTTTTGTGATATTGTGGGCTTTGTGATCTTGTGGGTTTGTGTGGGTCACGCCAAAGAGCATATGGCTACTGGAATTTTACACACTAACTCGTTCTGGAGAGCACGAAACAAAAAAGCTTAGCTTCTGGAAGCCCGTGAACAACATGTTCACATCAATCATTCACAACTCCTGGACGGCGTGCTTAACGAGGACTATGAAAGAGGTAGGCTCCGTGAGTTCAGCAACTCCATAAACCAAAGCAATGCCGATGCTTCTACGCACGATTCCTATGTGCGGAAGCTCCAAACCTTTGTGCTCTTCTACATTCTGTCTTTTCGTTTAACTTTTTCGGATATTCAATATTACCTGTAGAGTGCTTTCCGATTATTGGCCGAAAATCCGCACGTAGCGCATACAAGTCGATTTTCTTTGCCCACTGCATTTCCTGCACGCGAAGTTGGTGATGAGGCACTGCTAGTGATCCCAATCCCCGACAATACTTGCTCGTCGAAATGCTGGTATGCCTCATTGTCTTCTCCGAGACTTCCTTTTAAACGGCTGGTGGCCTTCGGGACATGGCTTGATCGAAGTTCTGACTTCTCCATGAACGCTGAGGCAGTCTTCCGCTTATCTTCAGCTACAAATAATACTGAAGTTCTGAAGTCAAACGGATATTACTTGATTATAATACTTACAACATATGTCTGCCCTATTAGGAAGTCCATCCCATGTAAATTCCGCATCCTTCCTCCGATTGTTGCTTTCGAAAATAGAAGGTGACTCGAAATTATAAGACGAAGTTGTTGGGTCGTTAAAGCAATTCAACGAAGACCAGTCACCAACAAAACGTTCCTACAAATCAGAAAATATCAGTCAGAAAAAAAAAACAAAAAAAAANGATTTGCCTCAAATTTGGGTATGTTTTGTCGTTCAATGTTACGAACAAATTGCGCCAAATATAATCCCGCGCACTGCCTAACACGTGATCTCGATCGACATTTTTTGAGTTTACTAATTTCCATCCCCGTGCCACTACTGCAGTGTACGCTCTTTTTGCGATATTCAAACATCTTTCTGACGAAAGGAACACGGTGGCTAACGCCCCGAGAACGGGCAGGCCGCGTTCAACATCTGCTCGCCAGGATAAGCGCATCGTTCGACTCTCAAAGGCCGATCCCACGCTTACCAGCGTCGACATCGCGGCTGAGATCAACGCTAGTGACGGATCAAACATCAGCAGACGGACTGTGGCAAGGAGGCTTAATGCTGCAGGGTTGATTGGAAGGCGCCCAGCTAAGAAACGCTGATCAGCCCGAAGAATCGAAAGGCAAGAGTAGAGTTCGCCCGTCGCCACCTGTACTGGACATCGAACGAGTGGAGCAAGGTTCTATTTACCGATGAAAGCAAGTTCAACCTCTTCGGATCTGATGGTATCAAGTATGTGAGACGTCCTAGTGGTGAAAGATACAATCCTAGATACACCAAACACACTGTCGCGTTCTCTTTCCACGGAATGGGCCCTATTCTAAGAATCGAAGGCACGATGACTGGCCAAAGCTACGCGAACATGGTCATTGAGAAAATACATCCATGGGCGGAAGACAACATGCCTGCCGTATGGGTTTTGCAACAGGACAATGACCCGAAACACACTTCACGTGCCGCGAAAGACGCCTTCCAGCAGAATTATGTGAGACCCTTGGACTGGCCGAGCCAATCTCCGGACCTCAATCCAATCGAACACATATGGGAAGAACTAGAGAGACGGTGTACCAAGCAGCGATGCAGCAACAAAGTCCAGAAGTTCGCTTTGCTTGCGAAGGAATGGAGCGCCATGCCAACGACAGTTTTCCAGAGGCTCATCGGATCAAAGCCAGCTCGCTGCGCGGCAGTGATCAAGAGTCGTGGCTCTCCGACGAAATATTAATTGTTTACGTAGCTTTGGTTTTGATTTTGACGAATCACCACAATTTTGTTAATGAAATATCTCTTTACTTAAACCTGGATTTTGCAAGCTGTTTTGAAAGATTGTGCATCTGACCTCCTTTACTAGCAATAATTCGATGGAATGAAATGCCGGTAATGTATTTTGTTTGTAACAATGCCACACATGACATATAAAATCTTCAAGCAATTCGGTCGAACAGGAAAAGAAATATTCACAAAAAACCGTTTCGGCGAATACTTCTGACCGCTACTGTAGATAAATTGTGCATTATTGCAGGTTTTTCATACCACTAACTATTCTTTTTTCAAGCCTCAAACAGCCAACTATGTCAAAAGTTGCGGTAAACAATAATTACGAGATACCTTCGGAACCTTTGTAAAAATGCTCGCCTAATGACAAAATCGTGAAATTAACATACCGCAATCATTTTCTCCGCTTCCCATGCCAAAGTGAGCTCAATTTCTTTTTCAAATCGACGACGAACGCTTGCATCTCTCATTTCGCAGACTGTTTCCGCTACAGCAGCTGGAAAGAAAGCACAGTCTCATCCGTCACGTAGCAACAACAATACATATGACTTGAACAAAAACAGGAAATACTACGTGCACTCGCTACTATTCCTGCTGTTCTCACCAAGATATGACTGCAATATATTGAAAATTGCCACCAAAACGATTGTAAGCCTTACGCTTTCACAGAAAAAAGCTCAAGCTATTCAGTAGCTGGCCTTCTGGGAAAACGAATCAACAGTTATGGGCAGAAAGGACACCGTCAATAATTGATATTTGTAGCACAAAGCCAACCTTAGCAAACAGCGGCTGCATTGTGAACAAAACACAACATTGAAATATGGGAAACACGTGTACTGTTTACCCGTTTAGCCAGCACCTGCGCTCTAGAATAGAATCCCAGAGAGAAATATTTGTAAAACTACGAGATTCACGGAATCAGAGAATATGCGAGAATAATTAGATACGTGTCGAGTTGGAAATTAAAGAATAGTTTTGAGAAAGCAACAACTCAGAGAATCGTTTTGTTGCAATCTCGGTCCTACAGCTCAAAAGACAACCTCAAACTGTGAATAAGCATGCCGAGATTTATAGATAGTCGTACTTGGCGACAACTCAGAGAATCAAAGAAGCTACAAAAAGAATGGGCAACTATCATCCGAAAAAATCGAGCGATAATGATCAGCGTCCATCCCCCAAAACATTAAAAAGATAGAACCTTCTAAATTAATGCATATCTGACCCTCTAATATGATCTGCATTATCTCTCCAGGCTAATACTCTTAGGAATTTTCCCGACTTCCTATCCGTTTATCTCCAAACTCTGCACGTTACACCTCCTTATCTGACCGAGCAAAATACAATTATGACGTAGCAACCGGCAGACAGGTAGTAATTCCGTGACTAACGACTTTCATAATCAACGCACACCTCATCGGTGATAAAATTCACGACTTTCTTACTTCGTGCCTTGTCCAGGTATCTTTCCAGTTCAATTGTTGATCTGAACGATAATGGAGAATGTACGAATTTACTACTGCTATTAAATTGCGATCAATCTCCATTTGTAATTCCTTACTTCATGAATTCAACTGCACCCTTGACTAGGATTCCACTAAACATTCACAAAGTAACCATGCAACATAAAGTACAAACTTAAATCTATGGAAAATCCATTACCCAGCGCATCTTCGTGGTCTTCGCTGCTGAGAGCATCAAATTGGAATCGTAATACTCGTAGCTGCTCTAAGAACGCCTCCATAGAAGTTGTCCTGACAACAAGCTACCTTTTCCTTGGCCCTCGATGCAATGCACACAAATATGAGTTTAAATTACTTTTAAAGCGAATGGAAAGCTGTACACAACTAATACATTAGATTTATTATATGCTTGAGGAGTACGACCGAAGCATTTCAATGGTAATTCTTCGGGTTTGATAAAACTTAAAATCTACTAATCAGGCATCACAAAACAAACAATTCACAGGCTTCAAATATGACAAATTATGGCAAACATCACGAGGATTTGCTGGAATGCAAGTAACCCAACTAAAAAACAATTCTACGTCCCACATTGCAGTATAAGTACATTCTTCGAAACAATAAAGCTGGTACAAGTGCATGTATGCATATCCGATAAGTTATAAACAACATTCCACCTAAATGTCTATTTCAAGTCATCTTCTTCCCCTCCATCAACCGCCCCTTCGGTTTCGCCAGTAGCTCCAGGTGCATGAAGTTTCTTCATTAGCCGAAGGTACTGAAAATAACATTATGTGAGCTTCGAGAAGTAGCTTTATGAGATGCACCTTAATTAGTGGAACTTACCTCATTATCCATGCTCCGCAGCACACCATCTTTCAGCACATTTTGAAATTGCTCATCGTCTCCACTCTCCCAACCACCAATTAGCTGGCGACACGCTCTTGCGTCATCTGTGAACTCGAATTCAGCGCATTGTCTTTAAAAGGGTATGATAAATACATGAAACGTTCTATCTACGGCAACAGGAGCGAAGTAATTTTGCTCACTCTACTATCCATTGGTAATATTTCGCGGCAGCTACAGAATCTCCCATTGCTAACTGCACAAGAACCAACGCAATTGCGAGTTGACCCACACGACCGGGCTCCTAAACAATCCTGACCCATGCAATGATTTTCAGACAACACTCCCTTCATGAAGGCATCATTCTTCAGAGGAAGTTTCAAACAGCTAAATTATGCGATGTACACCTTTCAGGACAGAACTTACTCTAACTTCGACGTACTTTTCTATTTCGTCACGAATAGCTTTCGTTGCTTCGCTGTATCGTTCTAATCGGAGATTTAAACGTGTTATCTGACTGAGGAATTCCCCTGCTAATTTCGATCGGTCAGACTGTTGTACCAACGCAAGTCCTTTTTCGTATAGCTGAAATAATGATGCTATCTTGAACAGCACCCACAGAACCAATTGTGATCAGGTAAATGTAGCAAACAGTCGAACAGAACGCAATGCAGAAACTGAGATCCTATAAAATGACAAAGGCTACATACTTTGATAGCTTTCTCTGGTTCCTGGAGCACCACAACTTTTGCAGCCTTCTCAACTGACATCGCTGCTGTATCAAGACTTCCTGATTCGGCATATTGGTCTATCGCCTTTTCAAACAGTGGGAAAGCTCCTGCACTATCACCAGCATCTCTCAACAACATTGCTGCACCTTCACGAGCTCTGACAAAATAAACAGCAACATTATCTCGCAGGATCGCTATGTCACAATTAAGTATTCATAGTCTTCGCTTACTTAGCTGCGTGAAACAAGTTTCCGAGTTGTTCGTAATTACCAGCAGCATCTCTTAGTGCCTTAGCAGCCTTTTTCGCATCTCCAGCATTACGGTAGCAAACGGAAGCACGCTCCAATGCAGTTGCGGCTCCATCGTAATCTGGTTTCAGCTTCAACTTCAGCATCGATGTTTTTAGGCTGAAAAAAAGTATGGTTCAACCTTCTGCATGACCTCCTCATAAATAATATTTTACAATGCAACCATGCATAAAATTGAATCTAAGGTTTCAATCCACTACTTCATGAATATACAGAAGTTTAATCCAAAAAACAAGAAGCAAAGGAACATATAGCTATCACACCCTTTACTGTTTGAAAACTCGATACAGTTTACATCTGTCAACGCGCACAGTGCCCCAGTATGACTTGCAGAACCTCTTTATGATTCAGAAATCCTTCATCACCAATCAGGACACCGCATCCCAAGCGATGAATTCTCGTAGGCCGAGGCTATACACAACTCCACAAAACGACAAAGAAAGAACTAGACCCTCAGTTTCTATGAAACGGCGTGTCTCGCTTGTTTAACTTATGTCCTTCACACCTTTATGAATTTAGCGAAGAATAGGAAAAGACTGCTTGATGTTCTTAGAACCCAGTAGTTATGCGCAAGCTGCTACAGTTCCAAAACTACACCCAACCGAAAAAATAGAACAGTTAGTTCTTTAATGTTCTCGACAGAGAACCTCTTCTACCACCAAACCATGTTAGGAGGTATACAAATTTCGAAAAACCTCATGAAAAGCTTGTTCACTTCAGCGGAAAGTTTTCTACTCTTCAACTATGAAACTCTTTATAAAACTCGTGAAACCACGCAAGCAGTAGCGTTGGTAGCTTTGAGCATATAGTGTAAGGAGCTTTATCAAACAATTGTTCGATAAAATTCAATTGTTTGTGTTTTTCGTAAATAAAATTATTTTGTCAAACAACGTATAGGCAAAAAATAAGCTATGAAAGAAAGAAAGATAATTGAAGGAAAACTGAAAACCCACTGAAAAATTAAGCAAAAAAATTCACGGGTATTTGACGATACAGAAAAAAGATAAGAGAAAACCCCTATAAACCTTAGAAGACATATTCTGCGACAATCCGATTGCGCGTGAAAAGGCTACTCAGAGGGATTCCGCATGAAAAGGTTCATTTTAAGCCGATGAAATCGGCCATGCGTAGCCCTATTTCTCACAAAGAGGCATGGAAAGTGATCATTAGGGCTCATTGCTCTTAATGAACTCATTCAACCGCGTCCACGCCCTTTCACTGCGGAAGTTCGGCAGAATTGCTGTCTTTTTGGTAACTGGAGAACTCCAAGCTGCTTTTTCATTCCTGAATATTCCAATAAGAATGAACTCATTCAACCGCGGCCGCACCATTTCCCTGCGGAAGTTCGGCAGACTTGTTGTCTTTTTGGTAATTAGAGAACAACAAGCTGCTCCTCGATTTCTGAATGCGACAATAAAAAGACCCCTCCACGACAGAACGCATTTACAAATTTATTTAGCTAAACTGAGCTTGCATAGTTTACTATGAGTAAGCTGCTTCAATCGAATGTCGGCTAGTGTACTCGTATAAAGCGAAAAAAGTCTTCGTATTATTTTCCAGACCTATAAATCACTTAAACATAACTCACCACTCCGCTGCTTTCCGCTCACACTCTGCTGCTTCGCTTAGTCGTGCTGAACTTGACATCGTTTTTCAGCGACGCTACCAAAACCTGCAAGCACCATTTTTACTTGGTTCTACGCCACGATTCGGCACATATTGGAACAACTGATAGCAGTCGTCATTACGCGTCGAAATTATAAGAAAAGCTGCGCAACACTGCCAGTACGACAAGATTTCGGAGTTCAAGATCGAAAACATCGAATGACCCGAATCGAGCAGGGAAACATTTTAACCAAAATGAGATGATGACGAGAAAGCTTTTTGAGAATGAGTACAGCATTGATGCATCGCAACGCAGAATTGAACCAGACACCCTTTCCCTCACACTGGGTATTTCTAAATTTTATAATCTTTTAGAGACAAACTGCACGACCCATATAAATTATGGTAGCACTCTGGTGCGACACGAACTTCTCGAACTTTCCTATCAAAATTAGGGGAGGAAGAAAATGATGTTAAAATGAAGTCAAAAACATTGGAAAAGGACGTAACCGGTAAAAATGAACGGAATCTCTGAAGCAAACGCGAATACGATTACACGTGAAAATGAAAAACCTTTAAGCCTCACAAAAAGGTAGCTCCCTTCACATCTTTAATTATGGAAAAGCAATTCTTGATAAGGAGATTCAATAAATTGCTGATAACTAGTCTTTGAATATATGAACTTTTTCGCTTTCAGAGCCTGATCGTTTCTGAAGGAAATATTGGAATGAAATGGGAAATATAAATAGGATCTTACCAAATGACAACGACTAGCAGAGTGTGAAGTATGCAAAGGGTGAAAGCAAACTGTGATTTCAATAAGACTTGAACGGCGATTGACGACGACGAGAAGAACGTGAAGGCTGTGAAGGATCGAAGTTAAAAATGAAATAAATAAAATATGATTGGATTTCATTACGGTTTTGACCAACGCAAACTATAAGCACCTGTGATTATGCGTGAGGTCTTGACAAATGACAGATACTGAAGGCGAAGACGAACAAGTTTAAGCACTTTATGAATAGTGAAACTCTTGGATAACGGAGCAAAATGTAACGCGAATGAATGTACGAAGATCAGTAGATTTTGAAAAGAGCTAGAGCTTTTTAAAATCATCAACGATCCTCTCCGAGTATGCCTTGCACTCCTCCGTTTTACTGAATACACTTTCTATCATTATTATGCATATATGTGAACTTTTTTATACAAGAATCACTCTGAAAAAAGGGAACAGCGGAACTGAAAACCGCCCGAATTTGCTATTGACTTCTTAAAACTACGACAAACCTGATGAGCTATTTCCATTTAGTAACTCTGCCTAGTTTTTAGTGTACCTGATCTTTGCATCCATTGTAAAATTTGTGTCTATCGCAGGGTTTTTGCTTTCTGGTCTAATACGGCACCAGCAATTGCGCCTGGAACCTGTAAACAGTGCCTCACCATACATGGTGCATCTGGAAATAATTTTTAAATCGAGCCAATTTTTACAGAGACCTGAATAATCTGCGAACATTGACGAATGGTATGCATAATCAAACTTCTTAAATTATAATAAATATGTGAGCTGTTTGAATAGTGTCCTCATAATCTTGAGGAACGCCTTTATGGCATTGTCATAGCGCTTTGCATACAACTCGATCAAGTTGCTGGATGTTTGGAGCTCGACTCTCACAGGCGATGTGAAATACTCACCGCTTGCTACGGTCATCAACTCACTGTTCACCATATTTTAGAGAAACGCCATTGGCGGAGGGAGGATAACAGAGAGTTTCAGTTATTCAGTGAATTTGCATTTGCTGACATTGTTAACCGCAATCTATCAGGAGCTTCAATAGTTGATTTATGAGATAAAGAACTCCAACTGGTTTGAATGAATAGCAATTGAAGGAAGGATCATTGCCAGGAACACCGAATTGAATGTTGGATGGAAATCGAGCATAATGAACGTACGGCTACAATTGATAGCGGTTCTGCAGACACAATACCGATACTTGATGCCTGGATGGATGTCGTGGAAAACAAGTTGAATTATAACGTGAGCTGAATTTGATTGGCTTGCAAATGTTATGTTTGATGAGTCCGATGATATTGCAGGATCACAAGTGTGATGATTGTCGATATCGAGGATTAATGCTATTCATGATGAGTAATTCAATCAATACTCAAAGATTTATTAGGAAAAGAGGAAATGATGAGACCACAATGAACTTAACAATAAATAAACAGGCGTGAACAAATGATATTACAGATACTAGTGGTTAATGTGTGATTTGATCATGATTAAATACGATGACGTGAAGAAATCAGGATTTCCCGATTATAACGCCGCAATGCTATAGTGACAACATGATTACATAAAACAGGTGTAGCCAATGTAAAAGTAATAAGCCAGCCGAAGTTTAGTCAGGGCTGCTACACTCTGCTCTTCCTCTACTGCCAGCGGATCTGAACTCCCTGGCCCTGGAAGCGACCTACCTGGTCACCACCAGCATATCCACCTTGATCACCAAACCCAGCAACACCATGATTACTAGGCATCTGAGGGGTGGTCTCTTGTGCAGATCGCATTTGTGCCATTGCTGCTACTCCTAGTCCAAGACCCAGGCCCATAATGTTGTATTTAGCAAGTACCTTAAGTATATTTTGCAAGTCTGCTGCATACGGCAATGTTGCTATCACACCTGCATAGCCTGCATGACTTCGGCAACACTGGCCTCGTTGAAACCGGACGAGCGAAGGGTAGACTGGAGATTGTCGAGGAAGGAGAGCAGCTAAATACTCATTGAAAACGGGTTTGAGAAATGGTAATGGTGATGTGGTTACTCTGCTTAACGATTGGTTTCCATTACCTTGATGTTCCATTAATGAATGACATGTTCACGGGTGAAATACTGGCTGAATATTTAAGCACGCTGACACCGACCAAAAAAAACTTATGTACCTCCTGGTTTCCGAGACCGCTCATGGGATTGAACTTCATCGATTGCTGCTGATTGGCTTGATAACCGTAAGTCTGAGTACTGAACGCCGAGGGAGCAGCGTTAAAAGTACTAGACGCACCGCCATTAGTGAAGGCGGAGGTTGTCGTGAATGACGTATTTCCAGTCGAAAAAAACGGCATTTAGAAAATTAGGGCAATTTGAGATCGAATCGAGGAAATTTACTCTAGTTGTTCCTCCTTTTCCACCGAAGTCCTCCTTGTTGATCTCGCTTGTGTGATGAGGATCAGCCACGACTTTCTCTAGCACACGACATGTGGCTTGGATCAGTTGCTGAATTAGAAAATGAAAGCAGTCAAATCCTGCAACTTTGTAACCAAACTTTGTTTACAGCCTGCGTGAAGTACTGAGAAAAGAAAACCCATACAGCAGAGTTTCTAATCGCACCACGGAAATCTTTTCTCCAAATCTCGTATGTGCCTTCCAAACTAGCGTCTTCAGACTCTATCGCGTCACTCCAAAACTAGACTTTGCCAATATACTGTTCCTCTTTCTTTTATCGGCCGACAAATCCCCCCCCCCCCCGCAAATAGCAAGCCAGTTCTACTAAAATGCTCAAAAATTCCAGAACCTACAGAGTGGTCTTCGTGTGCCAATGTGACAATCCGCTCGAGCGAATTCTGAGCCTCAGGAGACCCTGCTTTTGGGAATACCTAAAACGAAAAAAGGTTTGTGAAGGCACATTGTTCCAAACTGGGCGTTCCTGTCTCACCTGGATCTGACATCCGTAGGTTTCACGAATATCTTTGATATTGATACCAGCTTTACCGATGACCATACCAGCGGACGTGTTGGGCATAACAATTTTCACCTGAAAACTTAATTAAAAGATTGGGAGAACCTTTACAATTATATGGGTACAAACAAATCATTGGGATCAACTTGGTCCTGAAATAATTCTTTATACAGAAAGAGATTTATGCAGGGAACATTATGTTTGACCATGAATCGACCTGCCACTTGCAGACAGATCCACGCATTCTATCTTCGTCGCTTAAGCATGTGGCGTTTCTCGGTATTAATTGTTCCAGTTGCCATGTCTCAATTGTACGCCGTGGCTGCTAACCATTACACGCCAAGCTGTCAAACACACTGCATTCAGTGACGTGCAGCTGAGTACAGCAGTGCTTTCATCAATTCTATTAATGAACGCCTTCCTCGAGTGCCGACATGACTTGCTTCGAGGAAATCGGGGACGTCATTTCGACCCGCGAGGAAGATGTGTTACCGGTTTGTCGTGACACATTGCCCCCGTATTGAAGGGTGCTGACGTGTTTCCCGTCCAATTACAGCTGATCAGTCAGACAATCACTATCGGACAAAAAGTACCATCCGTCTTCTCTTGAGTTGACAGGATGATAAAAGAATATGCTGATAAAAGCCTGATAACTGTATTACTCATACCTCTAGCCCTTCCTTAGCTTTTTATTGTGATCAGAGCACGGCATCTAATATTACCTTCAGAGACATTTTATTTTATCGATGACTAGGCCTTTTTTCAATTAAGTCTAGCATTCTTCAACTTCGGGTATCTGTTGCAGCAGTTTCAAATATCGATCAGAGGGTTTTGACAAATAACTGCTGTCACAAATACGTGTGCTGAAGGTAGTAGCTTCAAAGGGTACACCGATAGTGTATCAAGCGTAAATAGTTTCAATTAACAGCCAAAACCGTATGCAGTAAGCATCAGGAAACTAATAAGCCAACCATCGAATCCTTAGAGCCCTTCAAAACCCAAGGGAAACCTCATGCCATCAATACGTACCGTTTTCTACCGTCTCTATAACACCGACGAACGTACCGTTTTCTACCGTCTCTATAACACCGACGATTCTATGTACTAGTTTGGATCCAGTAGACCTTAAGCATGATAGTGAAATATACCTCGTTTCCACGGCTAACTCCTTTATGATCAAAAGCATCAGAGCTGGTGGAGCCCTCGCATTTCTCGCGAATCCTTTGCAGTATTACATCAATGACGCCCAATACATTCTGAACGCGTCCTTTCACCAGACAGATCCGCTCACTTGTTCCTAAATTGAAACTTGGGAAATTTCAGTGGCCAAACTCCAACAACTACTGGATATAGTTCCTCTTAAAGAATGGATGTAACGCATACCTGGATATGTTTCTGAGCTCTTGCTCATTTGAACTCGGCATTGATGATCGTTCTTCAAACTTCTCATGGCCTCTCCACCTTTGCCAATAATTGCTCCAACCGCCGCCGAAGGAATCAGTATTTTTATAGCCAACTGATCTATAGATGACACAAATAGAGGGGAATAAAGCTATTGATACCTTGGGACTTACTGTCTTCTCCATCAACGTGAGCTCTTTTGTTGGCAGGGCCATCATATGAATCCTGGCCTCTTTTGGTACCTGCTGACTGGATTACGGAAAGAGGGTTTCCCTCATCATTGTGGTTGTCGTTGTCTGCCATTGTCCTAGTATAGAGTTTGCTGGAAATAAAGATTAAAAGAATCCGCTGGCTACATGAAGCTGAAAGATACACCAAGTCTCATGGTATAGATGCACACAAAGAGGTTTTGGGAACAAATCTAAGAGGAGCTAAGTAGAAAGCGCAAAGAAGACATCATAAATGGGCTAAACGAAAAAAGAACAGGAGCGTGAGGTTCACCACCCATAAGGAATAACTTTGAAGAGGAGCTAAGCAAAAAGCGCAACGATGATATCATTAATGTACAATGACGAAAAAACAACAGGAACGTGGAGTCTCCCACCCAAAAGGAGTAACTTTGGAAAGGTTTTACGGTGAATCACATTTACAGGAATCTAGAGCAAGTAATAGGTAAAAGAACTACCCGGGTGACCACAGCAATCCGACCTCGGGGCACGATGACGCTGCCCCAGGACGACACAGCGACCGACTCTGATCGATATCGGGAACGGGCCGCGCTGCGACCGCATACGAGCCACGGTGAAGGCCGCGCAATTCAAACAGCACTTTCCATCTCACGCCAATCAATGTTCCCACTCATTCCCGTGGGTAACGTATTCTCTCACTAGGTCAAAGTCAAACCACACCATGTAAAGTCTACCTTTTGCTGCAAGAAATCGCAGTATTATACTTTAGAGATACACTGATTAAAGACACCGTGTGAGTGGGCATCAGGGGGTCCGCCTGTTGTCTTCCGCTGGATTGACGGATGCAGCTGTGACAAGACAGATTAATCGTCCCGTGAATCTGTTGCACAGTAACCCGAACACACACTCATGCACCTACAAACACCCGTCAAATATACGACGCAACAGAAAGGTACCCAAAGCCTATGGGAATCTGACGGGATGGGCGGTGTCTGTTAGGGAGTTAGTGTATCAAGAGGTGTTAAAATCCCTCTAATGCAGCCGGGTTTGGAGTTGACGAGTTCGGTGGGAACACTGGTGAAGCAGGCATAGGGCGCAGGTGAGGGGGACCTCTCCAGTGCCTTTGGGTATAAATCTTCAACAGAAGTTATATTCCCACTTATCGATTCCGCTTGCATCCCTTGTATTGTAGATATGAATTCAGACTATGCTTTGAGAGATGCTCTTGCTCCTTGCCCTTCACCCTTACCCTGTGGGTGATTATATCGAAAGAGCATCGGCAGCTTATCGGAAACATCTTCAAACAATTTGTCGGGAAATAGCCGTAGAGAGCAAGTGAAAGGGCTGAACTGCAGTGAGGTCACTGAGTGTGCTGGCGGTTCAGTGGGTTTTATATACTCCGGTTAGTTCGGAGTAGAATAAAACAAGTAATTAGTGAGTGCGGACGTTACCGCTAGTAAAGAACAGAAGAATAGCAAAATAAGTCTTTATCTAAGTACAAAACCTACGTCTCGCCCTTGACGTTGTTCGAGGTAGAAGTGAGGGACCCACTTATCTCGGGGCCGCTTGACCCCGCACCGTTTAGGGGCGTGGGTTAAGCTAGAGGGAGTCGTCTCAGACAGTGAGACGACGAGATAGTAATTAAGGTGAGGTGATCGTCGCCTTAGACGACGATACTCCGCCGGCAACGGAGTTTACAATTCAATGGGGATTTAACTATGCATATATACATGACAACATGATGAAATATATCTACACAACGGCTCGATAGATCTTTTTCTTTTCTTGATGAATGAATATGGCCGCGTCGTAGTTGCAGCCCGTAGTTCACGGACTTCTGGCAATTGAGATGAACGGGAGATCATTATGAAATAAAGAGAATTAATATTAACATGAGGAATCATCACGAGCTCGGGGGAGATCAATGAATGAAGCGCCTTTCCTTGGCAATCTGTTCGCCTGTGAACCTTACGGCGCTTATCTCGAGTCGTTGATGACCAAGTCGATGAAGTTTTCTGCAGTTACAAACTCGTTTGACACAACTATACGGGTCGTCAAAGTCAGTTGGCTCATTAACGCCCAACTTAATATCGAGTCGAATGGTATTGCTCTATACTTGGGATTATCCCTCGTTGGGGTATGGGTCGACTTTGGGCAGCGAAAAGATGTAGCTGTCTCATTTAATGATCATATTTAATTTTTTGATTNTTAGAACTTTTTGGTCTTTCTTTAACCATATATCCGCAATGATCGGCGGGAGGCTTTCCTAGTTTATTTTTACTTCGTGAACTTAGTATGTTTTTTGCTGTAGCATTATTAACGGGCGACAGGCTGGGATTATAGATATCCACAATCGCCGTCATCTCGTAGAATGTCTTGGGTTTGTTAGCTTCTTCTACAAGTAACCCTTTACCGTATAAGGTAGGCCCAAATATAGTATTCGCAACATGAAGGCCTGAAGGCGTTTTTCCCATGGAGTCCTGACTCAGTATCAGTTCATGATAAAGGTCTAACCCTACTAGAATGTGAGGACGTTGGTGCTCCCCTCGAGCATGTAACCGAGCTCGTCCGCATCGGTCATTATCGAGTGCATGTGCGACTCTTCCTCGATTTGCTCTATTTCGAGCAGTAGGTCCTTTCTATCCGACTTATTTTTGCACGATTTATATTCCTCCTTTATCTCAGTGAAGCGCCTCTCTAGCTTTTCCTGCCCCTCTTTTAGTAACCTAGCGCCGCTTTGTAGGAGCGCAATGGTGGACCTACATTTTTCGTAGGATTCCTTATCTGAAGTAGGGTAGTCGACCCTAGCAGTATAGGCTCCGTAGCGTGTGACTAAGTTCTTTAGGGTATTGGCGTTAGCGAGAATGGGCTTTCTGTGAAGTGGAAGGGCCATTGTTTTGTGTTGATTAAATTTACTTGCTATTATACTATTAATTATCAATTTATGGTAGAACCTCGTTCGATTCTTTATATGTTACAGAACCTCGTTCGATTCTGTCTTCGATTAACTTCAAAAGTATAGAACCACGTTCGATTCTATTTAGAAGATATCTGTTTTTTGCCTAATAGCTATACGACTATTTTAGCCGATGCACCAGAAATGTGCTGGCGGTTCAGTGGATTTTATATACTCCGGTTAGTTCGGAGTAGAATAAAACAAGTAATTAGTGAGTGCGGACGTTACCGCTAGTAAAGAACAGAAGAATAGCAAAATAAGTCTTTATCTAAGTACAAAACCTACGTCTCGCCCTTGACGTTGTTCGAGGTAGAAGTGAGGGACCCACTTATCTCGGGGCCGCTTGACCCCGCACCGTTTAGGGGCGTGGGTTAAGCTAGAGGGAGTCGTCTCAGACAGTGAGACGACGAGATAGTAATTAAGGTGAGGTGATCGTCGCCTTAGACGGCGATACTGAGGCTGACCGACTAATTGCTCCTTTCCCTGGTGAGCAAGAGTTTTGTCGTTTTCTCGACCTTTTTGGTGAAAAACTTCACTCAAAAGAAGGCCAGGGCGGTGACTTGGGAGCGATATTATTGATGAATGTGTCATATATGGTACTCCAATTACACGAATTTAGCGGTACTGCAGGTTGGTGTAGAGCGTGGAGCTCGGTTTATTCGCAAAATTCTTGAAAATCCACCTTTTTCTATATTCCTGATTAATTTCGCGTTGAAAAACAAGAACAAGACCCGCACTAGATCCATGTCTCCAAAATGCTGAGGATGATGAGGGCAAGCCAAGTGAGTTTTCGCCATCATCTCTTTGCCTTTTTATTCCTTCTCTTTCTCGTCTTTCTCGTTCCATCACTTCTAGCCGAGAAATAAGGTTAGGCCTTCACTTGTGAGCCCCAACTGTAATTCCATTTGCAACTCCAGTAATCCACTTGCCCACTACTGACGAAAGAGCGTATAGAAGGAGCCTGCAGGCGCCGAGGGGACACACCCTTACGGAGCGACACGCATAAATTGCTCCCATGTCTGCTCTTTTTCTGAGCGGAATTTCGCTTAAGTGACTTCCTCTGCCTCGCAACATGACTATTCCGCGTAACCCTAAGTCAGTACGTATCTTTGACTTAAGGGACCACGATTTCTCATTAGTATTCAAGGCTATGCTTCCTGCCGAGAAGAGGAAATCATTTATCTGGGCTTAATGTGTGAGGATCAGTTGAGCTTGTTTGGCGAAGAAGCTTATGCAAGTCGGAAATTCGGGGAGTCCCTTGGCGCATCACCATGGTGAACCATTAGCACTTGCGCTCATGTCGGAGGTACTAGTTATAATTGCGAGTCCCCGAGATTGTGGAATCATTTGAGTGTTGAGGGGAGTGCAAGTCTTCAGGAATTAGGCGCTCTGTCTTCGATTGCTCTTGAATAACCCTTTTAAACTGAAGAGATCACCTAGCATCTGTTGAAGTGTTGAAAATGGTTTATCCGTTGAAATTACAATAAGGGTTAATTAACTGATTCATAGACTGCTCCATCGACTACTAAAATGTCTGTGGATGGCGCAACCCCATAAACGATAGAATCGGACGTCTCTGTTGAACTGGAGTATCGTAGCAGTATTACTGAACCATCGCAAATGGGATAGCATAAACGAATTTGGCCTCGTGAAGAAGTGTGAGAATGAAGGGCCCAGTAAGAACTTAGTAATCGATAGAACTGCTTTTAGCGGCTGGGGGTAGGGACAGGAGTGGAACAAGTACACTTATTCACCTTACATCCGAAGCTTAACAAACTCCGCCATTGTCATATACAAGGAAATCAACGGATATAAAGTTCCTCTTCATTGATTTTCCTTACCATTCCATTCTTTTCAGTTAGATACATGCCGATAACCACTTAATGATGACTGACTGTCCATTTGACTCCAAGGTTCAGTTGTCAGAAAAAAATTAGAGCTTTCTAAGAGTTTGCAAAACTTCATTCCAGTAGGTACAATCATAAGCGAATACGAACTTTTATTTCGGATTGATCATAGCTACGTATAAGATGTGAAAATAAAGTGGACATTCTCGATGGGTTAAGGAAACACAAAACTGTAATAGGCAAGTTGTGAGCGGACTGTGACAAAGAAAGTTTCATGATCCCACAACAGTCATGAACCTATCTTTTCCAGTACGCAAACAGCAGTCGGATCAGGAGATTATAAACTTCAAGTGAAATACAGTGCATAAGCACTCAAACAAACAATTTTAGAGCTGCTGTATAAAATAGCTGAACAGAAAGTGCGAGCGCACGACCAGACGAAGCAGACGAATAGCAAAATCTTTTGTGGTCGACGTGAAGGTGAAGCAATCGCATATGTAGTATACTCCAGCACAGAATAATTGAACTCAGCAGTATATTAATTATGAATGTCTAATAGTAACGTTGTCTGAATGGTTTCAGTGGAAAGAACCGACGATCGGACGGAGTAGTATCGGTGCAGCGGTTGTAGAATAGAATGTAGTAGCAGGTAGCAAAGTACAAAAGATCAGAATTTCAGTAATACGCCCGCAGAAGAAAATATACTTCGGTTGAAATAGAGAACCGACAAAAAATCAGCGTTGAAAGCATAATTTTGCTTGATGTGCCCATGTCGACGCTCCAATAAAAGGTGATCATGCTATTCTACCCAAAGGGAAACTGAAGCTGGAACAAAGTAAGCCTGTTTTAATATCCTACAATAATGAACCTTGGGCCTCTGAAAACAACATTCGCAATAACCCGGAGCCCTGCGCAGCCTGCCCATGCAACTACTAACTACTGCCAATATTCTGAAAACACACCTTCGATTACATCTCGAAATTGCAAGAGAAGCAAAACTCCTTACAATTATTCACAGTTTTCGAAAAAAAGGATGGTGCTGAACTGTTTTCTAGAGGGTTTGGAGAAGAAACGATACAACTTGAAAC